GATGCCATCCAGAGGGACCTGGACACGCTTGTGAGGTGGGCTGATGCCAACCTCATGAAGTTTAACCAAGACAAGTGCAAGTTCCAACCCTAACTATTCTATGATTCTATGATTCACAAAGGTAAAGCATTACATTTGAAGATTAGGTTTCTGGGTTTCCTTTGATAAAAAGAGATCACAGACAACATTAAAATGTCCAAGTTAAAAAAGGGTTTAGAATCATAGAAGGGTTTGGGTTGGAAAGGACCTTAAGGTCACCTAGTTCCAACCCCCCTGCCATAAGCAGGGACACCTCACACCAGACCATGTCACACAAGGCTCTGTCCAGCCTGGCCTTGAACACTGCCAGGGATGGAGCATCCACAACTTCCTTGGGCAACGCATTCCAGTGCCTCACCACCCTCACTGCAAAGAACTTCTTCCTTATATGTCACTTAAACTTCCTGTTTCAGTCTGAACCCAAGTTTGTTGGTTTGTTTTTTTTTTTCTTGGTGAGTAACAAAATCTCTCTGCAAGTAGCACATATTGCAGCTACGTCTCACCTGGTGAGAATGAGGAGGTACTCCCCTGGTTAGTAGCATTGCTTCCTACCCCCCAACACCAATTTGCATTGCAAGAAATAAAAGTTTTGCAAAGCAGCAGAATGTGTGCATTAGATGTTTCTTTACTGCTAAGCTTGAAGCACCTCTTCTAGAATTGCTTTCCTACTTAATTTTCCCTTAATTACTTTAAAAATGAATTCTTAGCTTTCTTCCACACTAGGAAAAGCAGTATTGTCCCTAATAGGAGCCTGCTTGCCATCTTATTACATACTATATCATCAGTATGTACTAAGACAAGTAATTATTTGGAAGATCAACAGGCCTTAATCCTACCCCTAAGAGTCATTAGTGAGATCAGCTTTATATTTTCTTAGATTTGTACTACAAGGTCTTAATTAGCTTGCTTTGGGAGCAATCTTTGCTATAGTTCCCACTAACTGGTACCATAAGGCTACGATCCAATTGGTATAAGACTATTTAAGTCAAAATTAATCACTATAGTTTTTGTACGGCAACATCAGAAGATGTAGCTATTAAGATGCCTGTAGAATATAAATCTGTGTAGCCAATTTCACATCTTAATCAACAGATATTCCAAACTTATGTGCCATGGCAGGGGGGTTGGAACTAGATGATCTTAAGGTCCTTTCCAACCCTAACTATTCTATGATTCTATGATTCTATATCTCTTCTCCTGGTTCCTCAATGCCTAAGAAAAAGACTACGCATACAAAACCTTGTGAAGATTTAAGCCTCGGTTATTGAAACAGTGTTTGTGGTTTCTCTTGCACTTCACAGTTAAATCGGGTTTAGTGCTCATCCAGCAGGTTTTAGCAATACAGCAAACAATCAGTGGTTTTGTAGTACATAGAACTGAAAGCAGCCAGTTACAAAAGGCAGCTTTGGTAAAGGTATTTCATTTTTCCTGACTTCTAAAAAGTTTGAATAACTACCAAACAAACAAACAAAAGAAGGCAGCAATGAGTAAAGTGTCTTTTAAAGATAATGGAACAGTGTTTTCAGGGGAAAAATACTTGGTTATGGAAAGGAACATATTTAACAATAAAACCCATCAGCTGGAAAAGCTTTAGAAAATTGAGACACTCAAACCTTTTAAGACAAAGTACACTGCAACAAAACGCATGAGCCAAGAACTTGCAGTTAATTTGCCCATCTCTTTCTTCTTGTGACTAAACCACCACAACAAATGCTATGACATTCAAAGAGGTTCAGAAAGAAACAGCATTTTGAGGGAAGGAAATTGTACAACAACATAACCAAGTGTGCAACGACTGCTTCTCCATCAATTCTAGAGCATGTGAAGAAAGAGTACAGATTCAAGAGAAAGACCTGGCAGGAGTAAGCCTGTGCTTTGGTAAGAAAGGAGATAAATACAGCAGAGGCAGTGGTATTTCACTAGCTTAAGAGCTCTGTTTTTAGGAAGAGATTCTAAACATTTCAATCGCTCCCTTCCAGAAGGGTAAACTACGTCCACCTTCTCCCCCAAACGCACAGACTACTTTCTTTACTGCAGATGCACACATCCCTATTCTTCCCACAGCACACAGATTTGAAGGGAACATCAAAACATCTAGCCAGGCTCCTAATACAATAACACAGTCTATTAGTTGGTCTGTATCTGCTTAAACTGCTTTTAATCTAATGTCATTTCCTATTGCTAGTGTCCATCTTTGAAGGACTTCTTCAACCACGTTGGACTCAGTCTCTTGCCTTGGACACACAAGTTTTAAGATTGTCTCTCAAGCCAGTAAATGTATTATTCAGTGCTCAAATTCATAGACTTAAGAAGACCCAAAGATAACCCTTGTTATTTTTGAATCTTTTAATCTAGACTTACACACACTACTTCTACTCTTACCTTAATTACCAATCTCTATTTCTAAAAGCTATTTCTCTAGCGTCTTCATAAACTTCTCCTTCAAATTTGGAACCCCAGATCATTACACAGGGCACAGAAACTGCCTCTTTCATATCTGTCTTCACCTAGAGTTGAGATATCTTATCTCCAGCTCCATTTTTCTAGCATTTTTCCCCTCAAATAGCATTTCAGGCATGTTCAGGTACAGCTATTATATTCTTTCAACCTCATCCTCTGGTTTTGCCTTATCTCCAAATTATTTGTAGTTCAAAAGCAGTAATTTTTTGCTTCAGAAATTTAATTCTTTATATTTTCTTTTAATTCATGAACAGATTTATAGATCAACTGGCACTCTCCAGAATACTGTTCTCACAGGAGATGCAATCTCAGAGCTGAGACAGCCCTGGACAGGCTGTAAATAATGAGATGAAACAAGTCCATAGCATTACAAACAAAAGGCTGATAGCACCACAGCAGCCTAGGACTTGAACACAGGGAACACCAGTCCATCATTCCACAATGAGGTGAGATTTCAAGAACCGATTCATTGTCCTCCCATACTTGTCTCTGGTTTTATTAAAGTAACAAGAACTTTATCCTCCCTGAGCACTTAAGATAAAACCTAATGTAAGTTTTCATTTACTAGTGTTTGAACGTTTTAAGTGATGACTGCTGTATTAATCACAATCATCACTATGGTGAAACCACATCACAAAGCCAGAAAATCAAAGTAATCACTGGTTTAATTCGGTGCATGACACCCTCCCCCATAAGATGACAGGTTTTCTCTTACCAGAAGAACACTGGTTCTTAAGTGAGATTCTGGTGATCTGAAGAGGAATCTTCCACAGGTTTCCAGCAGAGTACATGCCATTTCAATATGGTGATGAGAAAAGTCTGACAGAAGCATCTGGTATATGTTTATATAAAAATATAGCATGTTAAACATCTTTTTCAACTGCAGAAAACAATGAGTTACATCTACCAGACATTACATCAGTGTGGTGTCCCACATTCTTGAAGAAAAAAAAGATGCAAATTGATTTCACTGATCAGATGTTAACAAAATTCAAAATATTTATCTCACTAAAAAAGTGTAAGAACAGTCTAGAACCCAAATTAAGGCTCCAAAACCCTGAAAACCAGGATGCTTCCTAAGCCTAGCATGAAGAGACTATGATATTAAAACAAACTCTTATCATCTATCGCCCCTATACTCCTTCCAACTCTGTCATATCTG